CTCTGTCCGCCGCCCCCCTGCCGCCCCGGGGCCGCTGCTAAGGCGAGGCCCGCCTCCGTGAGCTTCTTTTATAATAAGCCTGCCAGCTCCAGCGCAAGAAGGCTTCTTGTCCGAGCCGAAGAAGCCTCATCGTCTTCGCCGCCGGCTCCGGCCGTGGAGAAGGAAACCGCCGTGGCCGAGGCCCCCAAGCCGCCTCCACCCCCGCCCATTGGCCCTAAGAGGGGAACGAAGGTAAGCTTAGAAGAAGTTTGCGATTTCTGTAACTAAAGTGTTTTGTATATGATAAAAAAGGCATTTTTTTCTGCGAAGCTTTCAAAAGTGTAGGGTTTTTGTCATAATTGAAGAAATGGATTCCAAATGATTTATAGCTTTGTTAGTTAAGAAATTGTAATCATTAATTTCAAAAAAATCAAGTCTTTTCCATGTAATTTTCATTTAAATTTACACCCACCGATTACAACTAGAGGTATATTGGGTTTGTTAAGATTAATACGATGATTAGTGAAGATCAGAAGGCATCAAGTAGATATATGTACTATTTTTTATTTTAATTTAGGAATACTTGCGTACATTCCACTCAATTCTTAGAGGCTGTGTGGCAATGGATTTATCCATGGATTTAAGCGTGATGTAAGTTAAATCTTGACAGACGGTCATTTTGGACAGAATAAAGCTGCGGATTTGTTAAATCCGGTTTTCACAGATTTCGGCCTTAAATCCGTGATTTACTAAATCCTATAAATCAGTGGATTTAAGTTCGTGGGGTGAGGATTTAAGTTCCCAGTTATTTATTTATTTATTTTCACTCCAACAGCTCTAACGATTTTAAATCCATGTAGAACTTGCCAAACAGGATTTACAAGATTTAGTAAATCTATCTTGAGATAGCTTTTCGGATTTAACCTCTTCAGGATTTAAATCCGAATTTATGGGATTTACTATATCCTAATAACTTAAATCTCAATCCGTTACAAGACAACCCCTTATGCATTCGTATATGTAACTCCTAAACTTCAATTTTGACACACATGGACCTTACTTATACATGAAAATCTGCAATTCCCTTTTTAAAAGCTAAAGAAGTGGTACTTTTTATTTCATATGCAAGATTTGGGTGTTATAAATGTAAAAAAATAATGTTTAGATGGTAGATATGTAATCACATGGGACTTTGGGTTCTATGTATGTAAATGCCACCTTAGTTTATTATTTTTTGTGTGTGTAACGACTTGATTGATCGTGTTTGCTTAATTAAAATTTTCTACTTGTTAATTCAGTTACATTCAAGGTTTTTTTTTCCCTTGGGTGGAAATCATTATCTTAAAGCTCTTATTTATTTGTTATATGTGTTTTGTGCTGTTGGAATAAAGACTTGTTGTTGTTGTTGATGTTGTTGTTGTGTTGTTGATGTGTTTTGTAATGTCACTCGAACCTAAGATTGCAAGCTTAAGCTTGGGTTAGATTACAATTGTCACTCTAGGATTAGTAAGAAAATTTTCTTTTGTTATTTTTGACAAATTACCCATAGGTCCTAAAATTCTTGTTGTGAAACATATGAATTTATTACATTGATATCCACCACCATTAATTCTGATTTTTACCTTTTATTAGTTCTCAAATAGATTAAAATATTAAATATTCCTTCTTGCTCTTGTTATTATTGTTGTTGTAGGATAGTAACCTATTATCATATATTATATATTACATGGAGGTAAAAGGTCCTTTACAAGGAGAGACGAGTATACTACTCTTAGATTTTCTTTCTAATAAATAATAGCTGGGCGGAGAAGAGACTTGAACTCGTGACTTCAATGATAGAAATGTAAGTATGAACCACTAACGTTTAGTTTTAATCAAATTGTGAAATCTCTTAAGTATAATGAAGTTGAACTCGTAAACATCGAGATGCATTTTGGCGTAATTGTTCAAATTACATTATAAAGTTTAAAGTTAAGCGTGCTCTTATTGGAGCATTTTTGGAATGGGTGATTTCTTAGTTTCTTAGAAGGCCAGACAATGAAAATTGAGAGAAAAAAAGGCATAAACTTTCCATCTTATCAAAAGAGCAATTTGATGTTCGTGATTATATTTTAGGGAAATTTACATACACATCACACAGTACTTATGTAGACAATGAAAATTGAGAGAAAAAAAGGCATAAACTTGCCGTCTTATCAAAAGAGCAATTTGATGTTTGTGATTATATTTTAGAGAAATTTACATACACATCACACAGTATTTATGTGTTTACATATCTAACACTCAAAGTTTGACATTTACATTTATAACAATTTGGTGTCATAAACTTGTGCATGAAAATGCTTATGTCACTTCTGAAAAGGTAGTGATGATGGTATTTTTGATGTGATGTTGAAGATACGCGTGATATGCACGTAAATTAGTTGTTAGACATGTAAATACATAAGAATTGTGATCAAAATACAATTTTTTGCTATTTTCTACTGCTCAATTATTTTCTATGTTTTCATTACAGGTGAAGATCCTTAGGAGGGAGTCCTACTGGTACAATGGAACTGGATCTGTTGTGACTGTGGATCAGGTTAGTGGAAACCAATTCTATAGCCTTCATCAAACCTTCTTTGCTTAAAGTTGTCTCTTTTCCTAATCTTGATGCATCATTAGTTTAATTTTTATGAAAAACGCAGCTCACTAATCATTATAACGAACATCAACAATACATAATTTTGGAATCATAAACAAACAATTTTTATAATATTGCAAATGCATATGTAAATCTGCAATTTGATCTACGACATTGAAAAAAAAAAAAACTCATAGATAGATAATCAGTTTTAAATAATTTTATTAGACTAATGATGATGATTTATACATATAATATGAATATTAATTTTATTTATCACTAAATAAATCCTTACTATTGATCAGCATGAATTTCAAAACTCTTGAATTAGCTATGAGATGAGTGTAATATAACAATAATAATGATCGTAAATAAGGGGATTTACATGCATTTTATAGAATTCTTATGTATTTATATTTTTAGCACTTATAATTTTTATAATTGAATACATAACATTTTAGCCTTGTTCTCTCTCTCTCTCTCTCTCTCTCTCTATATATATATATATGCAATTGAAATGTATATAGGACCCAAAGAGTCGCTACCCAATAGTAGTTCGGTTTAACAAAGTGAACTACGCCGGTGTCTCCACAAACAACTACGCCTTGGACGAAATAGAGGAAGTAAAATGAAGACTCTCTCTCTCTCTCTCTCTCTCTATTTGAGTTGTTGCCTTATAATTTCATGAAAGTTATCACATTTGTATAATATTTGAAAGTTAGCCAACTCTTGTATTTACCTCATCAACTTTTTATTGTTGTTGTTTTGGGACTGAAGTCCAGTATTAATCAGCTTCTGTATTTGGATTTGTTTTGGGAGAAATTTACATAAATACCACACAATTCTTATATATGAATTTACATATCTAACATGTAAGGTTTGATGTTTACATATATAACATCTTGGTGTCATAAACCTGTGAATAAAAAAAAAATATAACATCTTGGTGTCATAAACCTGTGAATAAAAAAAGTTATTAAAAATGGTATTTTTCATGTGATAAATTTGAGTGTTATGAATGTAAATATTAAAGTTTGTGTTGGACATGTAAATACATAAGAGAAATTTGAGTGTTATGAATGTAAATATTAAAGTTTAAGTGCTGGACATGTAAATACATAAGAATTATGTGGTGTCTATGTAAATGCCCCCTTTTTTATCTCATAGATTAATTTTTCAATTAATAATCTCACATCTTATTGGCTATAAAATGAGGCAGAATTATTTTTTTATTGATGATTTAAAAAAAAATTAAATTAAATCACTGAGCAGCTATAAAATTGAATTTTAATTGAATATATTCATTAAAGGTCTTATGTATGATGAGCACATTATAAAATTTAATTGTTCTATTTTGTATTCATTTAAAACATATTTTCTTAAGTACTTTTTAAAATTAAATTCATTATTTTGGGAGTTTATAGGGTGAGCTTCTAGGGTGGTATATTTATATTATTGGATCTAAGAATTTTAAAAAGACCCATTGTGTGGACTATTTCCATTCTCACGGTCTCTTCCTGAAAAAATTATTTCATACGATGTCCGATCTCAACTGTTCATCACAAAGACAAGAGGAAGAAGTTGGATCAAATCACTCCCATTTATTTTTCTATGTTATTTGTGACTTTCAGTCATAGGTTTTAGAATCCTAAAGTGAGTCACCATCATTCAATCGGTAACTTATAATATATCCCTACAGATGGATCTAAGCTCTTAGAACTAGAGATGGATTGTTGTAATATTTATGCTGCTCATAGTCCTAAACTTCATTAAACGTACGATTTTGGACCTTTCAAAGTCACGACGTATTATAAGGCGGATTACACTCATCTCTCTTGGGTTCTCAACAATCCTAAACGTTGAAGCCAATTAATCATGAAATATGTTGTTAAATGATTCGGGACATTACTGATTATTGAATTAAAACAAACCTACGTTAATGAACTTGATTACTTTCGTTTCATTTATAACCTAAATAATTTATATTGATTATACTGTTATTTACACTAACGTAGCATATATTACATAGTAAATTAGGCATATCCTTAGATATCTTAAGAGTAGGGTTTAGTTATGATTGCACATTTCTTATGTTTCTTTGCTTTAGTTGGGTCGTATATTGATGAATGACCTCATTATTTGGCTTGTAATTATGTGCACTGGATATACATATTGTTTTATAATCACTCATGTTGTAGTGCCATAAAAGGTATTACATACTTGCATGTATAAGCTAAGATTTAAAAATAAGCAACCACAACCCCCTTATGATTCATCAATATATAGCCAACATTTGATTGACCATCTTATACATTAAAAATGTGCTTGTCAAAGATCAACAAATATCTCCAATCAATATGTATATTTGCAAACTTTTTGAGTCTATGTAGTACCACGATGGTGTTATATCCACATAAATGCTTATACAATGAAGTAAAATTTATAAATACATATTTGTAGATCTCATTTTTTTATGAAAAGAGCTCTATCTTACATTTGTAAAATAAAAATTGATTTCATTGATATGCAAATACTTAAATCGGAATAAATAGTAGTCCTTCTATAAATTAGTTTCATGTTTTCTTATACATATTTTTCAAATTTTCACTCAAATATAAAAAATGATGATAAAACTTCAACCCCATATATGGGCGGGTTGGTTTCTAAGGATTTATCAAATTCAGTAAATGTAATAAATTTATTTTTATCAAATTTAGTGTAGGATTGAAAATGGAGTGCAAGAGCAACAACTGAATTGAATAAATTGACCTCACAATCAGATTTAGTGAAACCAAATTGAATAAATTCACCTCACAACTAAAGTGTTCAAAGAATAAAATAAAATAGAAATTTTATATAGAAATTTTATCTAAATAATAACAATAAAATTGAAGGTAGAGGAGGAACCAGAAGGCCGGGAGGAGGACACGCCGACAGTACAACGGCCATGGCTGTCGTTGCTCCGATTTCCCTTCTTAGCTTTAGCCCCAACTTCAATTCCTCTCACAAAGCGCGTTCCTTAAGCTCCAAAGCTTTTCTAGGGATAACTGGTCTCCTCTCTTCTTCTCTTTCTTCTCCGTTCATCCTTCCTCGGCGTTCATGAGCCGTGTGCTCTTTCGAATTGCGAGGAGAAGGCACTCCTCTTGCATAAAATGCTCTGCAGCGAACAAGCAGTCTCCTTCTACCGAGATAAGGTTGATTCTATAACTTTTTTTTTTTCCACTGAAATTGAAACTAGGGTTCTGATTTGAAATGACATTCAAGAGATACCTTCTCTCTCACAATAGCTGATTGGTATTTACTGAAAAAAATCATTTTTTTAGCTAAATATTTACTGCTAACAATTTTTACATATGTTTTAATTATGTTTCCTGCGATGAACAAGCAATAATGACACATTAAATCTTGCTTCGTTTTTCTGAAGTATGTTTAGTATGTATTAAGATGTAAGGGGTGCCTCAGGACTCTATAGGACAATAATTGATTATTGCATGAAAAATTAAATTTATTTTATCCTTGTACTTCTCTTTCTCTCCCTTCTAGTGGGTTGTAGTTTTCTTCTCTCTCTCCCTTTGGGCCCTCTTGTAGTGCTTATTTACCCATTCTCTCCCCCATTATGATTCATGAGGGGCAAGTAAGAATATGTAATTGAATTTCTTGAAACCTAACCTTAGATCTTTTCTCTTGTTAACATGAAAGAGAAAAATGGCTAATGTGATTGAATATTCGGCCTTAAATGTTGTTTTTATATTGTCTAAAAATATAATTTTATAACCAATTAATAATTTAAGAATAACAAGATGCAATTATGAATTATTGTCAATTGAAACGCAAAAACATAAAATAAAGGTATAGAAAATATGATGGCATAGGATGAAGAACACTTCGGCCCGAAAAAAAAGAACCAGCTTAAACTCTTATTTGCAATGTCTAGCTTAAAGCCTGATGAATTTTGGGGAGTGACGTTAAACTTTTTTATTCTTGCCCCTTGATGAATTGAATTAGAAATATCTATCAATGCTCCGAAGGTTACCTTTACAATCACAAGGTCGTTCTTAAATCATGTCTATCAACATCATCAATAATTAGAATAAGACACGGGATAAACATATTAGGAGAGTCATGGTCAATGTTCATGTTTGGAGGTGATAAGTTCACTAATTCCTTAGGGTTAACAGAGGCATCCACAACCAATTGTGATTATATTAAACTGTCAAAAAAATTGTTCAAAATGGAGTGCATATTTGATTTGAACTAGGAATTCCAACAATAATATTCAAAGGTATAATTTGACCATTTATATGCTCTCATTGTGCCTAGATGTTTAATTTCCTTAGTTCTGAATGAGACATGAAAAAATCAAAGTTTTTGTGCCTAAAATTTGGAAAGAAAAATAATAAGAAAGAATGCTTATAGATTCTACCTTATGTTAATAGCCATAGGATAAGGAATCGGTTCACATCTCCTTTTAGGAGGAATAGAAATGCTAGTTCATATAGAAATTTAGCGACAAACTATCTAGAGATATAAGTCTAATTAACATTTGCTTGTATGTGTTTACTAGCACAGGGTGTAGAGAGTAAACTTGTTGAAATAATATAGACAACTATGAGAAAAAGTAGCCCAAACATGAGTGATACATAGTTCTTTGGAAGAGTTAAAGTGAGATGACCATTTTGGCATTTGCATCAATTAGCCATTTGAATTGCCTTGAAAATAGCATCATGTAATATACTTCTAAAGATAATCTTGTAATGATATAATGAGGTTCACAAAAATAATCAACCAAATGTAAGTAGGATATAAATTTGTGAACAATCTCCAGAGTGGGATGGCCCAAAGAAATTCTGCCTACGATAGTGAAAGAGAGTGAACTTATTAGCGCTCTAAAATCACATCTTCAGTGAAAATAGTATATGTTTACCTTGAAAGTAGAATATTACTCCAGTTAACGTGGATTTGAGTTTTGCTAAAAGAATAAAGGAAAATGGTTAGATGATTGCTGTAATTTTTTTTGAAGTTTGTAAACCCTTAACGAAAGAGTAAAAACAAATGTTTCTAAAGATGGAGCCTTAGAGAAGGCAAAGGCTACCAGAACATGTGACGATGATAATAACGGTCAAGTGCTAGGGACAATTGGTACGAGGGGTGAGAAGTTTGGTTCTGTAGTGGAGATAAGGAGCTCAATCGTGTATAGGATCGATCCAATAGAGACAATGAAAATAAGAATGCTAATGGCGTTGATTTTGATCAAGCCAATGCGAGTGATGCTCAAAGTGGTGAGAAATGATTGACTAGTGAAAATGTTGGAGATGCCATTAACGATACAATTTTATGTGAACTCACAAGCTAAACTTTGAAATTTAATACTAGGAGACGTCAACGACCAAAAGAAAATTCCATTTTATGTGAACTCACAAGCTAAACTTTGAAATTTGATACTAGGAGACGTCAACGACCAAAAGAAAATTCTTAAAGGGGCTGACATTACAAGAAGCAAAAGCAACTATACCAGTAAGCTCACAATAAAGGCCACACAATATTGGTCGTAGCCAAGTAGAGTAGGAATGAAGCTTGATCGATGTTGTATTGAGTAGGAGTGAGAGTAAGTAAGGGGCTAAATGAAAGGATACAATGATCAAATGTTGTCGCGTAGTGGGACATGTAGAAGGAGGCTACGTGCTACCTACGATGAAGCTGATGAAGCTCAAGTAGGATCAACAAGGAGCAGGAA